TGTGTGTGTGTGTGTGTGTGTGTGTGTGTTACATCTTAATTTGCACTAAATGCTGATACCTGTCGTGATGTCGTGATCGATACCCTCCACAGAGATGGTGGCATTGGAGATGGGGTTACCCTGGAGGTCACGCACGAAGCCCTTGACACCACGATGAACCTGAACAAATACACACAAAGAAAGGATTTAACTTTCAGATGCTAGGAAATTAATTTCTGACTGTTGTTTTAAAATGGTTCAGCTCTCTCTGACGATGAAACCCGTTTGGATCCTTTACTTTATTATGGTTTGACCAACTCCATTCACTGGTTTCTTGTCAAACCTCTTGCAGTGTTGACATTGTGGATTTTTACAGTTTTTTATTGAACTGCTTCCTGTTTTGGGCTCTGTGTTTCGTCTTGTCCCGTCATCGTGTTAGTTTGACTGAATCCCAGTGTTCCCCCTCAGGACTCAAACCCTGAAACCTCACAGACGTACTAAACATGAGCTGGTAAATGAGACGGCAGCAAGTTACACCATATTACATTTATATATATTTATACTTTCTTTACGTCAAAGGTGCTTGAGAGAGTGTAGATAACACTTTACTGTGTCATTGTGCAAAATTGTGAAATGAATAGGACAAATTACTATGCATATTCTTGCCATGATTCAGCTTGTTGGTAATGTTAGTTCCTCTTCCCCTTCAAGGAGACATTGCCTCAACTTCTACTAATTTGTGTCAGTTCACTAAACTTCACCAAACCTTCAGCTGCATCAAATACACCTTTATTAATGGATGACAACGTTGGAGTCTATTTTTCTAGAGCCGGTTTGCCGCCTACCTGCTCAATGTAGTTGACGAGTGAGTTGCGGTTCTGCTCCCAGTAGAGCTTGAGCGTGTCCTCGTTGGGGAACTTGTCGCAGCTGAGCTCCAGAGTGATCTCGAAGCAGTTGCTGCTGAGGTAGTTGAAATCCTGCATTCCTGTGACGGGGCACAAGATGAAGGAGGAGAATGAATTTAATGAGTGGAAGCGACGAGAGCGCTGATGTTATAGAGATGACAATGATCTATTAAAAAATCATATTGCAGGTATTATATCCATCAAGGAGGTTATGTTTTCACCCCCTGTCCATTTGTGTTTGTTAGTCAACAGGATTGAACAAAATCAGGGAAAAATAAAATTCTTTTTACATTTTTCAACATTTTTACTAAATCCCCAGGGAAGAATTCATGGACCTCGATGAAGAAAATCAGGCACATTGAGGAGACTGATATCTGAGTGTGTGAAATTCTTTTTATCCTGTTTTTGTATTTGTATAGCACCTGCTTAACTTGTACAGCAGCTTTCAATCTGTAAAACTGCAATTCAAAGTGCTTTACAGGTGGTCGACAAAACATAGGATGTTAAAAATGAATAAATAAACTGGATTTAAATAAGTAAGGTAAGAATTGACACTAAAATGACAATAAAGCTAAATACAGTAAGATAAATAATAAGGATGAAAAATAAATATAAAACCATAAAATTATAAAACACTATATAAAAGTCAGACTAAAAAGGCAGGTTTTTAATTTACTTTTAAAAATATTACCTTTTTTTTTTGACTCAGATTGGAGTCCAGTGACTCTGAGCTTAATGGCTGAAAGTGGCATCACTAAATGTTTTGGTTCTGCTTAGTGGAAATAAAAGGGCCAGAGGTTCTGAGGAGGCTTCTCGCTTCATACACCAAGTATTTCTCATGAGTAGTCTGGCGTTAGTCCATCAATAAGCAGTGTAACATTCTAAAAGGGTTTGATTGGGAATGATTTTAGTCTCTTACCTCCTGGCACACTGTACCAGGCCCCTCCATTAGTGATGCCATCTTTGAAGCTGGAGTCGTCGTCGGTCTTGCGGCACGGGGCTCGGTGCTGGTCGGACATCACTGGGTTGTATATGGAGTAGGCTCTGGCTAGAGACTTGAACATCACATCATCCGGACTGGCGCTGTACTCGTGAGTGGATCCTTACAGGACAAACGAGGAGGAAGGGAACAAACCATGTTTAGACAGTGGCTGCGATATAGTATTAATTAAACACCTGCAGCTGCAACACATTAAACCTGTGCTTACGCAAACACATGTTTTATTTACTTTGAGAATTGATGCACAGGAAGCCACAGCAGGAAAAGAAAATCCATCTGATTTGAATTAGAGTTACGACATTCTGGAAAAAACGGATAAATCGTTTGTTGTTTCAGTTATAGGTCATTATTTCTATTGTGTAAACTGTGGAAACATTCTCATAATGGAGAACGGAACAGTTTATACACGACTGAACAAACCAAACACAGAGAGGAGGTGGGTGTGTTCGTGCGTGTGTTCATGTACCAGTGCGGGTCTCATCGTATGGGTAGTTGGCCACCACGTCTCCTCCGTGCAGGTTAGCCGACAGGACAAAAGGGATATCCATGATCCAGTGGATCACCGCCTTGGACTCTGGAGCCAGCTGGAAACACAACACTCACGTTACGAATATAGAAGAAGTCAAAGATACTTCTGCATCTCAAACTACAACTTACACACAGGGTTAGAAAAGAAAAAGAAGAAAATGCTAATAATGAGGATTTTTTCCTATTTTTTTTATCCATAGTTACCAGGAACTAATAATATGTGTTAATAAGCCCCACATATGTGACAAAAACAATACATATCAGCCTTTTGCCTTAGTCATTTAAATGTTTTTTATCTGTGACATGTCTGAGGCTCGCCTCTATTATTATTATTGGAACTATTATTAGTATTATTATTATCCAACACAATGTTTTATTTATATTATATTATATTTTTCACCCATTTATCAATGTATGAGCTGAGTGCGAATTGATATTTAAGCTGTAATGTTGCAGAAAGTAATTTTGACTTTTATCACTTGAAAATCACTTTGAGATAAATATAATTATAATTATCATTATTATTATTATTATTATTATTATTCATCCATTTTCTGTACCTTGGTGTTTTCATCCACAGCCTTCTTCATGTTCTGCAGCAGGTGGTTGTTGGCTCCGCCTTCCCTCTCGTTGATGTAAATGATGCGGTCCAGATCGGGGAAGTTCCTGTTCAGATCCACACCCTGGGCGTTGCTGCGGCCCACGAACCAGTCCTTGATCTCTCCGGGCTGAGCAGGAAACAGCAGAGGACGATCACATCATGCTGGATTTGAATAATTACTATTTTTAAACGCAGTGTTTGTGCAATTTAAAGCCAGGAGCTGCAATTACTCACTGTTTTAGTCACTGTCTGTCATCTCATAATCTAAATAGGATCAGGTTTGTTTGTGTTCACCGTGTGTTTGTGTCGTGCTGTGTCATCACCTGAGATGCGGCCTTCTCGAAGCCGTCTGGGTTCATGGAGGGCATGAGGTGGATGCGGGTGTTGTGGACGAGGTCGATGATGGTCTCGTTGCCCTGCTGGTACTGGTTGCACAGGTACTGAGCCAGGTAGATCAGCAGCTCTCGGCCCACCGCCTCGTTGCCGTGCATGTTGGCGATGTACTTAAACTCGGGCTCACCTGCAGCGAACAAGGAGAAACTTGCTGTGTTACTGCATCACACACGGCGCCGTAATTCGGCATTATGTATTCAACCTTCATCATCGAGAGGCTTGAGAGAATCTGAATGAGATTGATGAGCCAATCACACAGAGTCCTGAGGAGAAACATCCCTGTAAGCCCCCCCTATTGTACCAAGAGGTGGTTTTCATCTGTAGTCATGGAAACAACATTTCCTTTATCTCCTTTGGAACAAGAGAACGTCACTGATAACGCTTTCTGATTTGTTATGGACGTTACCCTGGACACACACACACACACACCACACACCACACACAGTGTAACACTGGACCTTCACACCTCAGCAGTGACAAACACACTGAGTCATCACATGAGGGATTAAACGGAATTGAACGCTGCAGCCCAGGACTCCATTTTGACAATAATGAGTGGATTACTGGGCGAGACTGTCACAGACTGTTGTCACTGACTCGTGTTGGAGTGACAGGTCTAAGATCAGAGTGGACTTCATCACTGAGAGTTTAACTCCAGGACATTCTGCAACAAAATTAGGGATCCTCATTCCTCAGGGACACTGGCAGCCTATAAACCCAGCATTAGAGTAGAACAGTAGTTTATCAGCCTCTATCAGCCGTTAGGTCTGTTAGGTCAATAAAACATGATCATTAATTGTAACAATATAATTTCCATCAATAGATACAACGTAACCTCCCCTACTTTCACATTAGGATTAGAATATTATAAGATTTAATTTAATATAAACAAGACAAATTCCCATTGCCTAAATGATACCGACTCTTACTGTTGTGCAGAATGGTCACTAATTCCACAGAAGACTTTGTTTATAATTTACCAATAAAAACTCACATGCATGTGATTAAGAGATTAACAGAGAGTAGTGGATGGAAATGTATAATGTTCAGCTATTAGTGAATCATGTCTTTCAGTACATGAGCCACTCTGATTTTGGTGACTCTGGCTCTTTACTAATGGTTATGGTATTGCCCGTCACTAATGTACACCCACCCAAGGCTGGTAAATTTAGGGGAATGATATCTATGAGTCAGGGTAAGTTGATAAATTTAAGGGACTGTTGGATCTTCTATGGGCAATTTTTTACGAAAGTACTCTCACTGTTTTGTGGACAAACCTTTGTTGCCCATGTCAGTGTATGGAAATAACTACTATCCATTTCCTTCATCCTGTAAATTAACGTTATATATCTCAGGTCCATTTATATCAGAATGTTTCACAGAGCTGTGTTTTAATGACTGAGGCTCCCACCGTCTGTGTCATATACTAATTAGCCTCGCTTCTCCTCTGTTCATTAGAAAACAGCACACAATGAAGACACATGCTAATAAGGAGCCATATAAAGTCTCTTCACAAAATCACAAAGAGTCTGTTCTTCTGAATAACTGCAAATCAGAGATTAGTGGCTTTGTGGCTGCACGACGACTAAGAACGTCTCTCGTCACAGAGGGGAAAAAGGCCCTTTTGTCGAGAACATGGACGAGTTATGAAATGTAGATCAAGATACACAGATGGTGAGGAATGTGTTCTGAACTCTACTTTGATTTAACTATTTTTGAGGCCTTTTTTCTCCTTTTTACAGTTTAAACTTGAGCAAAACCAGTTTGTTATGTTAATGTACTGCAGAGTCATAATGTAAGTGTGCATGTGCCAATGTTTTGCATTTGCATCCTTTTTTAATTCATTTTTGCTGATTTTTGAGTTTTTGATGCATCTGTAAAAGGTCCAGTGGTTTCATAAGAAAGTAACGCATTCACACACACACACACACACACACACACACACACACTCACACTGATCAGCCCACATCTGGCAGTCAGGTTATTTTTAAACACTCAAATCTGGTTCCTCTAATGATTTCAAAACTACAATTAACTCTTTCCGTCTTGACATTAGTGAATGGATTTTACAGGCTTCAGAGGCCTGACAGAGCTGTCAACCACACACACACCAGTTCAAACACACACACACACACCAGTTCATATATACACACACTTTGAAGCTGGACTCTGCCAAAACGAGTAACAATGATTCAAGCTGTTACACAGATGCTCAGCATCCAGAGAATTCCTGTTCTCCCTGAAGAAACATGTTTCTGTGTTGTTGATGCTCATGTTCTTGTGGGACAGGAAACACAGCTGTACATGTTTCATACATGCAGAACAGTATGTGTGTATGGGCCAATGCATGTAGGTACCGATGATGTGTTTGAGTGAGTTTTGGTGTGTATGAGGGAGCTGATGATAATTCTCAATCATAATCAACACTTTGATTTAAATTATATAATTAATTATCATTTTTACAGAGACACACACCAGACACATTGTTGACAAGAGGATGCATGTTATGAGAAGGCGACTGTGATGTGTCACTGCAGAGCTGGAACAAATCAAAAGCTCTTTTCTCCTCTCAAGTCATCCATTGTTCTCTCCCTTCTTTTCCCAATTCAATCCTATTCTCTACAAAACTGCCTGTACCTCGCTGAGCTTTTATTCTTTAATACAGTTTCCTTTTGAAATGTAACTTTCCTATTAGCAAATTTCTGAGATTGTGTAAAAGAACATTTGAAAAGGGGTAAAAACACAAAAAGACGTTTTAGTCTATACATTCAAAGAAGAGTGACCCATGTGAGACACCAAGAGGAGATCAAGGGACGGAGCCTCGATAGCAAGTTCCTGCCAACACTCGCGCTCGACCAATCGTGACTCAGCATCATTCATGACGTTTCAACTTGTGTTTAAAGCATCAAATAACTAATGAAAACCAAATTTACTGGAAGAAGTTACAGTTCACAAACATCAGAGTGATAAGAACAACTCAAAATGAAAAATGTATTTGGCGTGTACTTAGTTTGGTCAAGTGCACCGTCACTAACATGGTGGAGGCAGGGTTTATGACCTGTACTGCTGCCAGCCACTAGGGGGAAATTGAGACACTTTGGCTTCACTTTAGAGGAGCCATCATGCAGTCCATCTTTAGATAGCATCTATGGTCGAAACAGACTGTATGCAGACACCTTTTGTAGGGCATCTTTAATATGTCCGTCTGAGTGTGTGTGACAGGCTGATGTAGCTCCTCCCTTTAACTCCAGCTGATGTCTTCTCTCCACAGGTCAATAAAACGTCTGACGTCGGCTAAACTCACTGCATCGTCCTCCACTTTGTCAGGAATGATCAAACTCGTGTGACGGGCGATCAATGCGGTCTCCGGGGCGACCACGCAATAATGACTGCAGCTGTCACGTCATCAGGGAAGCACCACATTATAGGGCTCTCTGTCGTCCTGGCAACCCTGACAGGGGCAGGTGCTCAGGCAGACGAATCCTCCGGGAGGCTGAGTAAACACACTCTCACTCTGTATATAACTAGTGTGTTAAGCTCTAAAGGACTCCCAGCTTTGTCGTCTGACATTACACCGACACAGTGAAAAGAATGGATAAATAAAACATTTCAAAATGCTGATGACATCTACAGGTGCTGTTTGGGATCATAACATTGCTGACACATGTATTATATGGAGCCAAAAAGTAATTTAGTAATTTAATCTAACATTTAATAGAGTATGTGACTTTCTAGAAATGGTATTATTGTGTTTTGTTTCTTCCAACGTTTTAAAAATATTATTTTAGATAAACACTGATATTTTTATGATTCCTTAATAAGAGGGTCTGATGATGGAGTAGTTTCTGGGATTTTATGCCACAGAACTCAAATCAGGTGAATTTTATATTCATACCACATTATGGTAGTTCACGATGCTTAACATCAGCATAAAGGCAAATCATCAACATCATACATAAATTTTAAAACAGTTAATAAAGGAATAAATAGTAAAGAATGAGCTGCTTGACTGCATTCACCATTATGATAATGTTTTAGATTCCAAAAACATATTTTCTCAATCAGCTTTTTACTATAAATGCTGTAATCCTACATGAATACACCATAAAACACAAAACTTGGTGAACTGTCAAAGCCTTGTGGGAGATGAAGTTATACAGATTGTGACCACTGGAGTTACAGAAGCTGATGACAAAGAAAAGACGCAGTAATTTGACAGAAAATCTGATAAACATGTTTCAGCTTTTTCAGAAAAACGAATGAACATGTGCACAAAGCAGAAGCCATCGTGCAACAGGCAAGAAAAAATGGTGAGACTTCTGCTGTCAACACACATCGTGACATGAAGACACGTCGCTCAGCGTGTTGAGGAACCAGAAGGTAACGGAGGATGTATGCGGGTGTGTGATGTATAATAAATGACTTCTGGCTGATGCCGTGGCCTTTCTCTCATCCTCTTTCCGTCTCTCTCACTCTCCCTCATTCCCTCTACATTCTTTCGCCCACCTCTCTCTCTCTCTCGTCACCCTCACGCTCCCAAACAATTCCCGTTTTTTCAATCATCATTCCTTCCTTTTTGTTTGGCCTCGTCTTTCAGCTCCTGCTTCCTCCTGAGTGACCTCTGCAGAATGGATTTCTCACAGGAAAAACTGTCCCTCCGCCAGGTTTACAATCTATTCTCCTCTATTTTCTACCTTCTATTAGAAACATGTTTCATTTTAAAGCCACTTTATATTCGATGTACCATATGTCTTTTAAAATGACACGGCCGCTGACTGCTATTCACTTTAACCAGGCATGTGTGTGCGTGCTCACTGGGGATTACACACTTCCTGTCGTCTGATAAAACAGTTCAGTGTGGAGTCTTATGACCGCATGACATAGTCTGCACCATATTGGATGGAGCAGGGCCTCATATACCGACATGATTTTTTTTTTAACTTTCAGACAAAGTCAAACCCATTAGTAGAGATAGGGTTTCTCCTCCTATTAGGAATCTTGTAAATAGTTCCAGACAAGAGAGTCATGATAGTTTAGCCAGATCTCTTTTTACAGAGAAAACCCTCTTCTTTAGCTCCTGGACACTCAAATATGATCCAGCTGTGAGATGTAAACACCTCGTTCACATATGGTGGAAGATGTTTTCAGGTCTTTTTCTTACTTAAGTAACATTTATGTGGCGGCTATTTTCATCAAAATGGAGCCTGAATAAAGTCTCACAAGAAAAAATACTCCAACATGTTAGTGATATGTTATTGCATATTTAACATTATTGAATAATGTGTGTAATGATAATGTGTAAGAAGCCTAACTGTGTTTTTTCATACTGCTGGCTGGTTTTAATTAGCTTCTCATGTGTTTTGTACTGTGGCCGAGGGAGCTCAACACACTGCCAATGAAGAAAAGTCACAACACATACAAATACAAAAACACATGCAAATACAAAAATGCAAACGATACAATGATGGCCTCTAAGGCGCACTCGCATCGTTATAGCTAATAAGTCGGATATCAATTTTTTGAAAGGGACAATATTTTCCACTTGGGACAAATCTGTGGCAAAATGGCTGTCTCCACTGGAAGTTGCGTCAAAACCAAATCAATTATTAACACTAATGTGATGACTTTATCTCATATTAAACAACGCATACTGCTTCACATGTCAACAAACCACATACACAACAAAAGAATTTCTCCTGTTCTTTCCATTCTGCCAAGTCCATTATTAACTCTCTTTTTAGCTTTGTTTGGCTCTCCACCTGCTTGTTGGCTGCTAAATCTTCCGTTTTCCTCACATACAAGTCACTAACTTTGTCCGTTATTTATTCCTGCTCCTCCCAAAGAGCTTTTTTACTATAAAGGTTTGCCTGCTGCATTATTTGAGGGAATGTCCTCAGTTACTTCCCAGCAGTCGTCCTACACAGTGAATTAATATGTAACCAGCGTGTTTACACTCTTGGCTATAGGCGTTTCCTGTGCTGCAGTGTATGACAGATGGCTGCTTACTGACAGATGCATGAGATCAAGACCGTGGTCCGCCGGCCGACCAGCCAACCACGAGCGGCCATTCAGCTCAATGCACTAAGCCGATCTGTTGTCCTGGCAACCGCTATTTTGGCTCCACCTTAAAGTTTCAACACATTTGCAGGGTCAGATCAAATATTAGGTCGGGCACCTCAGAGGGAAGCTTCGAAATGTCTCGGGCAGATTTCATTCCTCTTGTCTAACACACACTCATCCATCATTTCTCCTCCTTGCACTTAGAACCATCACCTCTTCTTTCCTTCACCCTGTCATTCTGCAGATCTCCCCTCTCTGTTGCCTTCTCGGTTTCATCCCCCCCTCCTTGCTGTGGATGTTTTGCTCAGCAGAGATGAAGGGAGACGAGGGGAGGGAGGAGGGGTGCTACCCCAGTTGGTGAGGCAGCAGCCTGGAAACTCATCTGGTAGTAATAAGGCCACTCCACATCGCTACCGTGACTCATGCCTGCGCACGCCCACCACACTATTACAGGCTTATTTAGTACGTACGCACGGTCATTAGGCCCTGTGACCATTTGAGCTGCATAACATACAAAACCTGTGGTGCACAGTCGAGACCACACAAACCAAGAGAAGAAAATACACCTTAACGAGACTTATAGTTGTTCCCACAAACTACATTGTAAACTACAGTAATTACAGGCGAAGTTTCTTCCTTCTTTTGAGGCCTCAGGATTAACTGTGATGAAATGAATCTCTTCCTGCAGCGACACGAATCACTGACCCGTTCCTGGAGGCTCCGCCATCTGAAAGGTTACATGTCCTGCAGGTCAATCCATTTAATGTTCCTCTCACTATCAGGGCTCTGGGTCGTGCTCTGATTTTTTATTGGTTTCAGAAGGATTGAGGTGATGTGATAAAGGGGCTCACAACCTGGAGAGCTGCTGGTTTGTTTACGTTTCAATATATATCGATACACAACAAATCAGACTTTGTCAAAGATTGGACAGTGAAGTTCTGGACTTATTCTCATCCCTGTCCGTGGTGTTTTAGTCTGCCGTTTATCAAGTTAGAGCGAGGTATTAAATATCAGATAGTAAGAAACAGATGCAGCTGAGAGGAAAGATTCAAAAGAAAATTCATCCATAAAACACAAAGGAGAAGAGGTGAAGGTCCCATCATCCATGGGTCCAGATGCTTTTCTTCTAAAAATGTGTATCACCTGATGTCTTTTCAGTCTCCTGTTCTCTAGCTAACGTTTTGAATGAATTTCAAAGAAGTCTCTCTCTTAAAACAAGTGTTAAAATAACGTGTGAACTTACAAAAAGAAGAAGGTGCTGCAGAGAAAACAGCAGCAGCAGTGGTTTACCCACACATTTGCATTGCCTGCGGCCGGTGTTGAAACTGTCTCTTGAACTAAAAGGCCTCATACTTTTCGTCCCCTGTGGTTTGTTCAAGTCTGCAATCCAGTCCTGTCCCTGTGATGGAAACAGTGACAGACCCCATAAACATACAACTGACCAACACCTAGAGGTTCATTTAATATTCAGTCAAATGCTTCCTCCATGTGTGTCCCTCTGCTTATGTTGCAGCCCAACACTGCGGATGCATCTGCTTTTGCCTGGAAATGATCTTTAATTCAAAAAAAAAAACCTGCACCCATTGAGCTGTGCCATGATGATGCCACCACCTTCGGGGTGTTTTCGCAGAAACACGAATCGAGATAAGCACGTAGAGATTCTTATCAACCAGCAAAATGGCGGCTTTGCGTGGCTGATCCCACAATCTATCATCTCGACTGCTCTGGAGAAATGCAGCAGGCCCCTGCATGCGCTCTGAGTCTTTTTTTACGCACGGCACGACACACCTGCGCGTCCTCCTCCGGTCATCTGAGCATCACCACTCAGGTTTCTCTGTTATCACTATTACCACCAGGCTGCTATGCGCCAAAAGTGCGTGATGTGTTTGTGTTATCTCAGCGGGTGGTGATGGAGAGAAAACTGATGGGGGGGGGGGGGGGGGGGGGGGGTGCGCGCACAACCGCCGCATTATGGAGCGGACTTTTTTTTTAATGTGTGCGTAAAAACTGACCAGCTTCGTGCGTCCCGGGGTTGTCGGACATCTCCAGCACCAGCAGCTCTCGGCCCTCGAAGCTCTCCCCGATGGTGTAGATGCGGGTGATGGTGGGACACTGCAGCCACACCGACACCAGCGCTTTCCGCAGCTCCTCGTAGCGGTGGTACTCGAAGGAGATCTCACCGTCGGTACCGGCCGCGCGGACCAGGGCGACCGCCGCGGCCGTGAGGAAAAGCACCGACAGAAACAGCTTCATTTTGACGCGTCCTCTTTTCTCTCCTAAGCCCTGAGTGTGTGTCTGCCTGCGGCTCGGTCCAAGCCTTATCTCTGCTGCAGCTCCGGGCTATTAATATCTCTCCCTCTGCTCCCCCTCTCCTCCTCCTCTGTGATGCGCTGCTCCACCTGAGCCCGAGCTCCTGTCAACCTCCAACCGTGAAGCGAGAGACAAGGAGGACTCATGTCCGGGCAGGGCTTTCAAAATAGAGCAAACATATCTTTATTTATACAGAACATTTCATTCCAGGGGGGTCATGGGGATGAAATAGTAAAATATAAAATATTAGGATGGTTGGATTGAAAATAAAAAACAACCAAAAGAAGTTTTAATAAAAGATGAAATTACAATCGACACCGGTGGACCAGACATGTGAAGAGCACAGCTAAAAAAGAAGGTTTTTAGATCAGATTCAAAGATGGTAGTGTTAAAGAAAGATATTAACTGCAACAAGCTGTTGATTTCATATTTCTAAAGTCAAAGACAATAAGATCTTGTGAAGATATAGACCATGAGTGAAAGACCGATATAGAATAATTGAACGGACTAAATTGAAGAATAATAGAATAACCATCAAATATGATATAAAGTGTTGTTTTATTCTGCTTGTTGTCACATTAATGGTTTATTGGATGTGTGTTTTTTACTTTTAAGCCTATTTTATGAAATTAAATCATTGTTCATGTTCAACTGGAGACGACCTGCAGTAAACTCTGTCATCATGAAAAGAATCAAATGTCTGTGGATATTCTACAGTTTGATTGATGATTAATAAATATATTAGTCTTATTTATTTCTTATCAGTTTAGTGTTTCATTTTCTTAATTTTGTTGCTCTGAGCACCAAAATAAATTCAGCTCATGCAATATGAGCTCTTGTTGTGTGGCTGCTTCCTGTTCGGTGTGGGCTGCTGCTGGTTGACTTGGTGCTGCTGTGTGCTGGATGGGGCTGGAGGGGTGTGACCACAGTGCAGCAGAGACACAGGGAACTTTGAGTGTGTGTAATCATCCACATCCTGAACAGCCCAGACCTAATGTGTGATCAGCACAAACATTCAGTGATTCAGTGAAAATGTGTCACTAATGAACAATATGATGAAACACAGTCTGATCACATACAGACAAATACATCTGCTCAACGCAACCAAACACAACCTGTTCAATGTAGTTCAAATGTTTTATTGTCATGTGACAAAAACAGAGAAACAAAACAAGCTCAAGATTTCTTTTAGTAAAAATTAAAACAGCATTTTATTGTTCTTACAGTCTTAAGAAGGCTTGATTATCCTGGAGGCTCCACATGGACAAATTTCATGTTTTTTTCTTCTTTTTCTTATGAAACGTGTCTGACTCGTTCCAGACGTCACTGAGTTTAGACAGTTCCTATTGAACTGCAGTTTTAAAGAGTTAAAAATTGTGTCATCGTGACTCAGTTCAACTCTCAGAGGAAGCGCTTAAAGTGCTGAAACATTCAGAGGTACACAGAGCAAGGTCGTGGTCAACGACAAAGCAACAAATCAAAATGAGGATGTTGATGGTTTTTATTCAGCGAGCGGCACACAACACTTGTTTTCACAGAGAGGCACAGAGGGTGGACTGAAGACAACAAGCAGTCTGATTCAGAATCAAATCACAGCAGAGAGAATTCATTTGAAGTACACCTTTAGTGTGTGTGTGTGTTTGATTTAGTGCACTGACAAAAACTGTGTGTGTGCTCACTGTGACTCACTCCCTCCTCCCGCCACACGAGGTGTGTGAGCAGTTTACTGCTCCTTCTTGAGTCCCTGTTTCACCAGGTGCTTGTTGTACTGGTTGTCCGTGTTCAGCAGCTTGTCCCACCACGTGAAGGTGGAGGCGTAGTTCCCCACGAAGTTCATGTGGTGGAAGTCGTGGAAACGGGTGCCGGCGTAGAATGGGATCAGGTGGAGAGGGTTCAGGGGGATGTCGTAGCCGCTGAGAGAAAAAGATGAGAAATACAGGTAAGTCACCTTTACAATCAAAAATAATAACAAAAACAAAAGACACATTACTAGCAGCTAAAATTACCGTAGGTATATATTTAGAAATTTTCCAACAGGACAAAAGTTTGTTTAAAGTGGAAAATAATCAGAAATGTTATTTTTGAATTGACAATTTTGATAATAGTCATGAAATTCAGCACCAGTTTCTTATTGAACAAAAGGTCCAATCTTATCCTGTTCTTCTGCCTCTTTGAACACAGCTGCAGCACTGTACAATTCCACAGCCACGTGGAACAACAACATTACAGAACTGGTGTCATCGTGTAGACTTATAGAGTTGAAGGCAGCCACTGCGGTGTCACACACAGCAGAAACGGCCTCTTGCAGTGCTACTGAGGAGTTGAACACAGCATCTGCAGCTTTGAAGAAGACTTCAGAAAGGTGGAACACAGCTGCAGTACCGGTCATATCCAGTGATGCTGCAATGTCTAACACAGCTGCTGCAGGTCCAATGTCCTCCTGTTCTTCTTTATCGATGAACAAAGCTGTGACAACTGGTGACCGAGGTGGAGAACTCTTTGCATCCACTGCTACTGTTACATCCGAGACACCTGCTGCATTTTCCAACACAGTACGTTCAGGACTGCAGTGCTGCTGCATTGTACCAAGTTTCATCAGCACAGGGGAGTACAGCAGTAGATTGCGGTAATGTGATTGTGTGAAGCAGCAATGCACTGGATCAAGATCAGCACCGACACTGACCTTATTCAGTAGATGGTCAATATTATACAGTCAAGTGTTTCTGCTAAATTCCTTAAGTCATTGCAAGCTGCCGACTCGGGACTTCTTAAATGTAAAACATGACATCTGTTACAGCTGTAATGGAAGTTTTGTTGCCTGTGGATGTGATATTGCAGGAGCAGACGTGTATGTGGAAGACTGACCAAATTATTTATCTAAAAGGGCAACTTGAGGTTTGGCATATGTTTGGGATCTCACATCTGGGGTCTCACTCCAGGGGTCTTCCATACTGATAACAACTGATACAACCTGTGACTGTTGAGTCACTGTCCAAGTGATTTAACCAGTGATGCCCCCTCCTCTGCGTGTGAAAGCCCTGTGTGTGTGGGAAGAGACAGACCTAAGCTCTGGTGCAGCCCTCAAACAAATGGCTTTAAGTCCTATCAGTGACCGTGAGAATCCCTAGACTGTGCCTCTGCAATGCATTGCAGGCACACATAATAATAATTTCATACATCAGTGATAAAATATAAAAGCACAGAAAGACTCACTATTGAGTGGTTTAATTAATAAAGATAAGATAAATCCAAAACAATGTGTTAAATATACACATACTCAAATATCAAGAGTCTGATATTATCACACAATCAGAATCTGTGAACTTGGCCCGTGTCTTGTATGATTTTATAAAATTATATTTAATGTTGAATCAAATTTAAATCTCCAATATACATTTGTGCTATATTTATCAAAAAATACACCTAAATATAGTAACAATTATAAAAGGCCCATATTATGATAAAGCGACTCAATGTCCACCGATGGTACAATATATAGTAACATCTGGTGTTCTCTAGCGCCCTCATGTGGTTGATATCACAAGCTACTGGCAAGAGCTTACAGGAACATGCAGGTTGGTGCAGGTTAAACACAGTGATGCAACTGCTACTCTGTTTCTCGAGTGTTTTAAGTCACTTGTGTTACTATTTTGTTCCCCAGGGCAAATTCTATACTTTGTTGATCTTTCAGGTGGATAAAAGTAAACACAGCTCCTGCAGCAATCAGCCATTCAAGAGTTTAAATATGAAAACACACTGTGACAGAAAACTAACAGTGATCGTAGCTGTGAAAATGTTTGGACACCCTGGGTCGCTAAGCTGGACAGCTGCATGGTTCAATAAAATTCGGATGTGTCAGTGCACATGTGAGTGGAAACTTTTTTGGAACATACCTGTGGACGTCAATAGTCTCCAGCAGGCGGAAAGACACCCAGGCCCAGAGGAAGAACACGTGGTTACAGAAGATCATGATGCCGATGAAGAAACCAGCTCCCAGGATGAGGGTCTCAGCAGGATGGGCGTATTCGGCCTGCATTCCAAACGGAGCCTGAACGATGGAGGAGAGACTGTTGAGTACCATGATGTGTTTGCACTCACTGGTTGAAGCCGCTTGTCTAATAAATAACTGTACTGTTGAGAGATAAACCAGAAGGGGGGGTGTTTTTGTGTATTCATCTTATCACTTGTGCAGTTCACTCACAGTGAACTCATGGTGGACTTTGTGGATGTATTTGTAGATCCGGCGGTGATGCAGCAGGCGATGGAGGAAGTAGTGCCAGGTGTCTTCAACCATAGCGCAACCGAAGCACTGAGCCAGGACGTACGGCCTGGAGACAGAGGGAGGGAACGGAAAAACTCAATGAAATATTCTAAGAAAATATACAATATGATTCAAACAATAAGAGTTAGAAATATATGTCTAAGCTTAAAAGAACAGTCTCTATATCATAAATAAGTGCATTTTGAAACGTCCACAGAACACTAATATAACATAATATAACATATAACACAGAACATGTGTACAGTCACTGTTAATAGTATTTATTTTTAGATTTGAGCTATGCAGGAGCTCTTAGTGTTTTGCCGCTATTTCTAAAGGTTGGCAAATCTCAACACATATTTAAAGTTATATTCATTTATGTCTTTTACTTTTATTTTTCAAGATTGTTTTTGTTGATGTGGACCTTGCTTGAAAACATTCTTGTTCTTTTTGTACACAGATCTCTATATTTTTCCAATTAAGTTGAAAATATATATATAAATATATAATTATATATATAAACACTGACCAGCGTGGCATGGAGTCCCAGTCATATGGGATGTTGAAGAATTCAGTGAAGTAGTACGTCCCACAGATCAGTGGCAGCTGGATGCAGAAGTGGTTGAACAGCAGCATCTTAAAACATCTCCACTGCTTCTCCCAGGTCTCTGGTTTGTCCTGCACACACAGTGGAGAGGCTTATTTAGACCAACCTCACACAGAGGAAATAAAATTACCTCCAACAACCACACAAAACACACACCAACCTGCTGGATCTTGTATTTCTGCATGAAGGGCAAGAACTGGAAGATGAAACCAGGCATGCAAAAGAGGAAGTAGATGAACTCGTGGACGATGAGTGACCCCCAGGT